TGCCCAAATTCACACACCGCTTTGGCCATCAAAGCTGGTGCTTGCTGCCTGTGCTCTCATCTGCTGCCCCTGCTCACACCGGCTCGCAGGGGTCTGGGTGCCCACAGAACATCCACTGAGCTTCAGTTAACCTCTTCTTCTGTATGGGAACTCTGCGAGAAACTATTCATTACAGCTACCCACACACACCACACCCTGCTTCTTTACAGACACCTATCCATTAACAAAAATAACAATAAAAAAGCCCCCTAGGGAAATGTACTTCTGAGAACCTGTTTTGCTAACATGCTGTCACTGTGAGACATACATAATTAACAAAAGCTATGCCATGGCAGTTTTTTTCTTACTATTACACGTTCTGTCAGAGGCAGCATCTTATTTAGGAAAGCAGGTATTTAGTAAAACATTAATTGTGAAGTTGAGGATTGCAGGCTAATGCCCTTTTCCTAGGCAGCCATCAGTATGTACCCTGGCAATCTCTTTTACAACCCTCTCACACTGCTTTTGGAAGAGTATCATTAGCAGAGGGATGAAGTTTTAACACAGCTGCTGCATGTCTGGCGTTTTTTCTTTTTTTCTTTTTTTTTTTTTTAAGACACAACACAGTCTCTTAAGAGTTTCCAGCTACTACTAAGCTACATCAATCATCAACAGAAAAGAGGAAAAAAAAAGTGAAGCAAAGTATTTTTCAAACTCCAAATGCAAGTAGAATTCAGGTCTTCTCTGTGATTTTTACTTTGAATTAGCATACCCTGCTTGTGCTTTCATGTTTTTAACTAAACAGGCTAAAACTGTAGATTGTTCTTCAACTCCTTTTAGGGCGTTTTGGGGTTTTTTTGTTGTTTGGGGTAGGTTTTTTCTAATGTTTCACAATATGAGAATTGAAGGTTATTGTACCAAAATAAGACAGCTGCATTATATAAAGTTGCCAGTGTTGTCATGTAGAGGAACTGGAAAGTCCCAAAGCCATTGCTTACAAAAGAAAGTTCAATTATGCTCCTAATTGAAAGCACAGACTCAAAAAATGACTGCAGGTTTCGTTAGGCAGGAAACAGTCACGGAGGTTTGAACTTTAAATTGCAATTAGCTGAACTTTCTGTCTGACTGGAAAGATTCTCCAAGGAAAACCCCTCTTTTCCTCCGTTGCCACTTCACATTACCGCCTGCAGACTCACTCATAGGATGAGCTGGAGCTGCTCTGCCGTCCTTGGGCGGGGGCAGCGCCGGCAGCCGCGGCAAGGGAGGGAAATCACAGCCAGCTGCTACTGATATTGCTGCCGAGGCACTGCGGGGAGGAAATGATAAACACACAGCACTGACACAATCCTCTCTGCCACTGCTATTAGCAGCACCCATCATGGCCACTGATAATTACAGCGTCTGATAGCTTTGAAATTGTGATTACCTCTCTGGGAGGGAGAGATGGCTGTCTGTTAAGAGATGATGGACTCCTGGAAAATGACCAGCAGCTACACCAAACTGGTTTCCCGCCCACAGTCGTGGATAACACACAGAGAATGGTCCAAACCACCAGGTTTATCACACAGAAACCCTGACAGGTAAAGGCAAAGAACACACTAGACTGTGGATGTGTTCTGTTTTCTAGCAAGTTGGAAGTTTCCATTTCTCTATGTTGAGAATTCAGTTTAATGCTGACAAATTGAATCAGCATGCTCCCAGATGCCAGCTGATTCTAAAATATGATGTGTTTTGAGCACCATTAATTGTTCCAGTACAATGTTGCATTGTTTTCAAAGTAGGCAAGATTACTGTGATGGGTCATGTTTGTTTCACAATTATCTTCTCTGTGAAGTTATATTTCACAGATGTACATTGAGCCTTGGTCCTGGAAAACCCAATTTTATAGGTGAGTTTTGCAGAACTCCTTCCCTTGCTCTCTCACATAGTATTCTCTTGAAATAAAAGGCCAAACAGTGATATATGAAGGGGAGAATTATCATCTTCCATATCGACTGTATTTTCAAACACTTACCCCTTAGTTCTGGAACAAAAATGTGATGCAAGAAGACTAGAAAGCAGACGGAGAAACCTTTTTACAGCATTTGGAACGTCAAAAAACTTTTAATTTCCATGACTGATTTACCCTCTCCTTATAAAGGAACTCTACATTGCTTTATCTCTGCTTCTCTACAACGTGTTTTGCTACCAGTCAACTACATTCAGAACTAGCATTATCAAATACTATCACATCTTTTCAACAAGTATTTTAGGAGTAATGAGCTCATGATTCTCCCTGGTGTTTATCTGTCTATCAGCATGTCGCGATGTCTCTGACTCCTGGCACATTCTTGATACAGTCAAACCTCATTCATGTTGAGGTGATAGATGAATAATTCACACTACCTTCAATTCAGGCCTATAAAAGTCATGGGAATTCTTCTGGAAAGGAAGAGACACCACATATGGATGAGCATTTTGTTTAACCTTGGCTAGGGCTACCAGTGGTTTTAAAAGCATTTACTTAAAAAAGTTCTTCCTCATTTGTACGATGGTATCTCTCCTCATTAAGTCTTTCTCTGACTTCCTATTTTCAAGGTAATGGCTCTTCATTGTGGTGAACACCAGTACCTAAAGAATCTTCCAACATTTCTCCAAAGATTGCAAAACAATCCCCGGCCATGCTTTGTTGGCTCTGCGTGTGCGAGTGTTTCCAGGATAGCTCCACAACCCCTCCACTGAACAATGATGGAAAGTTCAAGTGAACTCTTAATAAAGTCTAGTTACTTTGTAGATTTGGGAAACTGCCAAGATACACACTGTAAGGACTGAGTGAAAATAAACTAGCACAAAGAGCTTCTTCAAACTGCTTTATTTACAAATTTACAGGAGAGATATGTAAACTGAGGGGCAGGCAGGTCTCTTCCTTTGTGACTGACCAGCAGCTGCAGGAGCCCTGTCTCAGAGCCTGACCTTGGAATGGGGCTCTGGCAGCCTCTCCAGGGCTAACTCCTTCCTCCCATAGGCACACTCATTCTCCCTCTTTCCATTTCATCCTTACCACTACTACTTCTCTTCCAGTTTCTTCCAAGTTTGGGGGTCAAAATTCTAGGATTTGCTTTGTGTTAATGAAGGAAAACTTTGAGAAAAATATTTCTACAAATACATAATGCTTACAGGAGAAAATCTCCTCTGAAAACATCATTAACCAAGATATCAGCACCTACATGCTCCAGGATCCAGACTCCTTAGACAAGTCATGTCAACACCAAGAGTAAGAAACATATCAGTGACAGTATAGTCACACCACCACAGAAATCAGGATGAGTAAGTTTTCCAGCTTTCTCTGTATCTCATTTTTCCTTCTGAATCACATTAAGAGTAATTCCCTGAAATTCTGTACTAAAATAATCAAAATTCCAGTTCAGGAGTTTCCCAGCAGCAATAGCCATTAGTCTATGATACACAGCAAAATCACTGTCTAAAAATAGAAAACAACACCGTCAACTGCTGTTTTGAAATCATTACTGACTACAAAGTCATGCTGGAATGTACTGTATACCAAATCAAATAAACTGTAGCTATATTCTAATACCTTACTAAGCCAGTAAAGAACCTTCCCTGGAGGGCATATGTGAAGTTTGACACACTTTTTATAACTATGTTCAGGGCTCAATAATGGGGCTTTCTGTCTCACTGTAAAAACACATTACTCCCAGAGTCAGTGCAGACCCTGCTCTCTAGGACACTCCAGGCAGCTCACAGATGTAAGAATCAGTCGAGCAGTTATAATATTTATACAGTGCACAGACGTGGACCCAGCCAAGGATTTAAACACATCTTAGACATACCTTACTTGCCTACAGTAGCCCTGTCCTTTCTCTTAAGGCTTTGTCTATATACCTGATCTTAGCAAGAGCATTTTGGTACGATGTACATATGATTTTAGACAGAAAAGCTATGAGACTGCTTCAGCTATCACAGAAGCACTGGGAACTTGTTCCCCCCGACACACCCATTCCCAGCCTGGCAGCGCTGCAACCATTAACAGAAGTATCTCCTGCTGCTCAAGCAAATGAGACTCATATTTGCTATACACACACAGCCCTTGGGCGACAATGGCCATGAAAAATGCATTTTGTTAGACTCCTGAAACCGATGAGTACAAAAACAATATAGAAGCACATCTGTTATCCCTAACCACAAAACGCCTCAAGGCAGTTGCAGTCACAGTGAGAGTCTGCTAAAAGTATGGTCATACCCCTAAAACATGGTTGAGCCTGCACCATGTAAAATTTCAAAAGCTTTCTGTCACTTCAGACATAAAATCTTTATTTTTAGTCTGTATTAACGTTAGATTTTTAAATACAAATATTTGAAGCACATAACCGAGCTGCAGGAAGGTAAGTGATAAACAACTGAACTTTGTCACTTCTAACCCCCTTTGTTCCAAAACCTCATCAGTCAGCCCCAGAGAGACCTTAGAAAGTCAGAAGCAAGCATGCTTGGCATAAAAGCTCTCCAAATTTCAGCAGAGACCCCTGCAGTTTTTCTCTTGTGCAGCAAGGCAGTGCCCAAATGCAGTTTGTTTCAGCTGTTGTTTCGGCTCATGTGAGCTGCAGAATGCAGCTGTGAGCTGGGGGGGCTCACCCCCTTCCTTCCACCCCCTTCTCGCTGCAGTCCGAAGGGGAGCCGGGAGAGCAAACTGCGTTTGTAACAGCAGTCACATTGTCGAACTGAGCTTTACCAGAGCCATTCCGAATTCCCCAGTGTAGTTCTGTTCCTAGTTTAAACTTCATTCTTTAATGTTCTGCAATTCAGTTTTTACAGATTTGGAATTACCCTTTACAAGCAATACACAGCTTTCCGTGATTGTACAGACCAGCACAACTGAGATTACACTTCTAAAACATCTCTGATAACACTTGAAATAATAAAAGTTTATAGATGCAAGAAAGCTGTTAGCTATCTAGCAGAAGCACACTCACTGTCTGAAGCATTAACTTAACAATCATAAGCATCTTCATTCATAAAAATCTTACCTGTTTCTGCTAGACAGAGCTTCAGCAAACATAATCCAAAAACTGTCCATAAGGAGAAGTTGGCCATTGTTTTCTTGGAACTGTTTTGCAAAATCCAAAGATCCTTGCAAGCTGCAGAAAGAAGAAAAGCCCCGACGCTTGTTAAGCCTGCAGTCAATGAGTCTGAAGTTTGCTGCACTTTTTATTCTGATTCAAAGGAACTGAAGTAATGACATAACTGGGAGGGGGAAGCTCCATCAAAAGTCACACCCATATTGCAACAAAAGTTACCCAGCAGCAGGAGAAGGGGGAGTGGAAGGAGAGCTAGGACTGACTAAGCAGGCACACTTGAGTTTTAAAGAGCCACTAAACCTTCTCTTCTTACACTAGTCTAGTCAAAAGTTATACTTAGTGTGCTCGTAGGAAAATGTGTGTAATCTCTCCTGAGTTCTCTCAGAAATGCACTGTTCGTTACAAGCTTTTCATCCTGCATTTTAAAATCTCTCCCTTATTACAAACCAAGTGAACATAAAAGCACTAGGGTTTCTAAACCCTGGTAAAGCACCTATAACTGCCTAGGTATTTCCCAAAAATATTTTGCTTATTTATTCCTATCTCACCATTTTCTCTTTGTGCAGTTCAATTAAGTGCAAGTAAAATGCCTGCTCTGCAGTGAAGCCTTCTGCCATGTTTTTGTTCACTGCTGGAGGATAACATCATGCAGAAGGTAAGTTGAGGCTGTTCAGTTTCCCACAGCCCCTTCTACTCTTGATATCCCTGCACAGGCTGCTCCAAGAAGAATAATGAATGAACAAAAAGTAGTGAATAATGCCAGTGCCAGGAGTGATACTGAGGACTAAGGCTGATACTTTATTCTATTGATGGCATAAGGTACAGAAGGAATTTTTCCTCCCATTCCCAATTCAGAAAGCAGAGAAACAGGATGAAAAGGTACCAGATCTTTGAGGTTCAGACAAGGTCTCAGTTCCTGAGGGACATATGTTCATTGCACTGTGTGGTTTTGTTTGGCTCTTCATGAAACCCCTGGTGAAAACCCCAAGGCCTCTGTAGATAAGCAAAAGGCTTGTCTCTTGTGTGCCTTGGAGATTTCCTGTGTGGTCTCCATGCACTGGCTTCTCTTTAGAGCTGGAGAATTGGAACAGTGCTTCGTGTGCCGTGGCATGAGGGGTTGGTCAGGGATCACCGAAGCCAGCACTTCTCACCTTTACCAACGACCAGAAATGCCCTGATTTCAGTTCCCTTGCCAAATCTGGAATGAATAGTCCTATATCAGATTACCATTTTGTCGATCTTCCCACTTGAAAGAAGTTTCTCATTAATTTAATCTCCGTTAACACAAACAATGGAAAAGTACAGACAAGTCTCTCCAGCCACAGGCACAAGAAGGTCACATAAAGAGGTTTTCAGGACTTTGCCCTCTTTTTGCCTTTTGACTTAGAAATGGCTGGCTATCCTTTCCTCAACCAGCCAAATTTTTAGCAACAGGTTCCAACAGGCTTTTCCTACAGGTCTAGAATATCTGATGGGACAAAGTTAAAGTAAAAATCCTTCCTTTAAACACAGGGAATCTTTTTATTATGAAGCTAGCAACTTTGAAATTATGGATAAAGCACATTTTCTTTAGCAAATATGCTACCTTTTTTTTTTTTTTTTTTTTTTTTAAGAAATGGCTTTAAAAGCAATTAAAAGGCAATCTCCTATATACCTCATTCTCTAAAGTGGAAAGAGAAATAGTTCTGTAGAATCCTGTACATTTATATCTATAAATGCTTTGGCATCAAAACCCATGAATAAAGTTTAGTGGGATTTCAAAATGCTGGCACACAGTTAATGAATGTTTTAAATTTGTTAAGTATATCTTTTTCTTCAATTGCTAAGTTACTTTTAAAATTCACGTTCTATGGATGAAACAGTATAATTAAACATTTTATTAAAATTCAGGAAATTTTGAGTCCTATTTTTGATGAACATGAATTGCCTCTCCATTAATATCCTGCATTCATAATGGTACAGAATTAAGAAAAATAAAAAGTTTTCTTTGGCACAGGTAAAGGGAGAATAACATCCATTTCAGGGATAGAGGCAGAGTCTTAGATAACCTGGAGTGGAAATTCCTAGTCTCTTCATGGTCTGAAGTTTCTAATTCTAGCCATTCTGCCACCTGAATATGAAAAGGTTGTTTTCTAGATACCAAAATATTATTTGTTATTCATCTCAGTCTTTTCAATACTTCTGCATGTGTTCAGCAAGGGTGGGTGGTATCCTGCTTTGGAAAGACTCTCTCTTGGTTGTTGCCCTGAAAAATTGGGCAAAGATTAGACACATTTAGACCACGTGCATGGAGGTGCTAGTACCTAATGCAAAAGGAAAAGACAGATCTACACAAGAAAAATAATTGATAACATTTTGTCATTTCATGTAATAAATTACAAAAACAGCTAATGAGCTGTTTGTATGCGACATGAGTTTGGCCATTCCTCGTGCCATCAGCCTGCCTTCATGGCAGCCTAGAACACACACGTGCATTCCAACAAAAAAATGACACAAAAAAATTTCCTGCTTTCCCACACAAACAAGGTCAGCTTGTGTCAGTCTCAGGTAGCCAGCAGTCCAAATTTAGTCGAGCTGCAGGGCATAGTGCTGCTCAGAAAATTTAGTCAAAGCAGATGTACGACTCTGGAAAACTGTTGGGTTTGGGGGTTTGTTTTTTGGGTTTGTTTTGGTTTTGTTTGGGGGATTTCTGTATGAGAAATACATAACTTCTGCTTTTGTTTGGGAAAACCTTATTACATAGGAACAGAAATTCCTGAAGCAAATCTTCAGCTGAAGAAATGCAGCAGAGCATCCCTTTTGAGCCTGTCATTACAGTTAAATATCTGAGATCTGCAATTTTCTTACTTCCTTGGCAACAAGAAGCTAAACTACTGGCATTAAAAATTTATAAAATGATTAATTAATTAAGTTTTCAAAAGAGAATGAAACAATAAGACTGAAAAAGGATAAAACCCTGGAATTTAAAAGAGTGTTCTTTTGTGAAGCTTTTATTACAGTGAATACTGAATCTGTGATGGTAAAATATAGTACAGAGACACCAAAATAACTAATTTGTGATTTTATCACATATGTGAACTGTAGGCAGCACTAATTAATTTTGATAAAAATTCTAATAGGGAGTACATATGTTGGAGTCCTAGAAAATGAACATGAATGGCTTACAGTGATAGAAAAAGCTGGGTTTTTTGCAGGAATTCACATAGAGGATAAAATTCCGGCCTAGCTTAATTGAAAGACCAAAATTCCATTAAACTCAGTGGCACAGCCTCTCCCTAGAATGAATATTTAGATTTTATTTTGTGGACAGACAAGAAAATGTATGTACCTGAATGCACCTGTACTTATGATGGGGAAAAAAAAAAAAGGTATCAATGGAGATTGATTTCACTATTGAATGGGGAAAATTGAAAGAAGGATAGAATGGAATTCTGTTTCTGTGAAAATAGCTGGCATTTGTCTTCTGAAACCCCAAAATTTCTAAAAAAACACAGCTCCTATTTTTTTTTTCTATTATCAGCAGAAATACTATTTTTCTAACATTAAAAAAATAATTTTCTGAGCATAACTTGGTGAATATTTCAAGCTTGTTATGAGGAGTTGAACAGCAACTGGTCTTAGTGAATTTAAGAAGCACAAATGTCATTAGGTACTTCTGGTCATGGCTGTGTGTGTTTTGCCTAGACTACGGGTGATCTGTGAGACTGGCTGGAAATCAGATTTGGGGGAGTAGGAAGGATTTCATACCCACTTGTCTGTAATATCAATAAAATATGCTATTTTTAATAAGATTTCCTCCATGTCCCTAGACTGCAATCTAGTTTCCTGCATTCAGACTGGATTCAATTTCAGAGTAGATTTAATTTTCATTATCAATCCTGAAAACAGGTTTTGCAATGGCAACGGCTGTAAATGCTCCAGTGTGGCAAATCTTGAACTGCACACTTTTCTTGGGCTCTGAGCGCTGATGGGAAGGCAGAAGAAGAGCCTGTGCTGGTTTAAGCAAGAAAAGCTGCTCTTTTGGCTGGAGGGCAAAGCACTCCCTTGGGAAGTTGAGCGCCCGGTTCTACTCCCATCAAGCTTTTGTTGCTGGATGTAATTTACAGCCTGTGTCCTGCAGAGAGTTAGGAAGATGAACAATGGCTCCTAGTTGTTTACTCCTGAAAAAAGCAGCAACCCAGATTGGCACCTACCGTGTGGATTCATCAGCCTGTTCTACTGGTTTGCCCCAGATCCCTAAACAACTCACTAATCCAAGCCAGGCAGAAAGCCCCACAGCCGACACGGCTCGAGCTGGCTCCAAGGAATTCTGTCAGACCAGGCGGCCCCAGCATCTTTCTTCAGTCCCTGGCTGACCCTCGTGTGCCAGCAGCGCACAGGCAGCAAATCACACCCCAGTCCCCACGGACAGCTCCAACACCACTGCCCCCCTGGGCTGTTGTTGGGATGGAGCTGGAAAGTGTCCCCAGCAGGGCCACCAGCTGTCCCAGCCCGCAGCAGAGACGCAGAGCGCGTCGGTGACCGACTGAGTCAGCAGCAGCTGCGCGGCTGCGGTGGGGAATACAGGGGAAACCGAGGGCAGAAGGGCACACTCTTCTTCTCTCTCGGTCATTTCTGTCTGTCTCTGCCCCTCCTTCCCCTGGCTGGCCTTCCCAGCACGCACCGTGCAAGAAATGCCTGGAACTGATGCATCCGAGCAAAAGAAGTGAAAGTGGGAATGCAGAACGCTGAGCATGAGCTACCCTCTTTGTGCCCAGCATTCTGTATTCCCACTTTTATTTCTTTTGTTTGCAGTTATACAAGAGGTGGATCAAGCTTACACTAAGCCACTTCCTGGATGTACTCTTTTGTCCCTACTGTCTTTCCATTTTCTTCTACTTGATTTTGCTTCATGACTTCTACCTTGACTTCCCTCTGTCATCTCCACTAATTTCTCCTTTTTCTTAGCCCTCATTCTTTCTCATCCATTCCTTGCAGCATATTGGAATTATTAAATCAAACATTTAAATCCCCAGAAGAGCAGGTGAGCTTTACAAAAGGCAAACATTCAGGAAACTCAGGAAACACTTCATATTTGCATAACCAAACTGTTAA